AAGCTAGGAAGCCGACATTTTATAACTGTTTCCTGCCCATGTGCGCTCCCAGAAATCTAAATCCAGCTTTAACATAGGTTTACTTTCCACTTACGGAAGAAAACGTGAAATTTCAAACCGGATATTTTCCAACTTTTTAGCCTCATTCCTGTTATCTCCTTATTTTGAACTGCGCTACAGAAACCAAAAGTCTTCGTCTTCCAAATCAAAAAATTCTACTCTGCTTTAATCAAAAAAGGTTATGAAGTGGTTAAAAATGCCGCAGTTTTATGCGATTTGCTGTACAGCGCTGTCCACAGCAAAAGCGCTATAGCAAAAACGCATATTGTCGAGAGGCTGTCTGTACGCGTGTGCGTGTTCAGAAGCGAGTGAACTTTGTCACCCACTTTCATCTCAACGACCAGAAAAGCCGGGAGACTGAAATTTTGGGCATATGTTCCTATCCCGTGTGCCACCCTTCCGTTTTAAAATTTTTGCTCATATGCGCCTAGACTCCGCGTACGGACCCTCGAAAAAATATACAAATTTCTTTGGCGGGGAACGATTTTGCGAACCAGGTAAGGTACAAAGCTAAAATTTTTGCAGGGATATTCTCTGCGCACGGCGAGCTGAAAATTTCAAATTCGGCTGTCGCGCACCTTTGTGCAGTTCGTACGATTACATCAAAGATTGCAACTTTGTACTGTGCTAGCTTAAAAATTTGTCAAAAAACAATGGCTGGAATATTGCCAGCATGTTTACCGTCGGCATGGGAAATAATATACCCAAAATGAGTGTCGATTTGCACTTGTGTCACGACGACTTAGGACACTCCAAAAATATTTGTAGCGAATTGGCTATTTCGCTTACTGGATAAGGTGCTAGGCCGAAAATTCGCTGGGACATTTTATTTTTAAGTGGAGTCTAAATTCTGCTTGGAAATGAAATTCCCTGCAGGTGGTTACGAAAAATAATAAACTTTACTGAAAAATCAGAAACGAGCGCGTTTTGCAGTGAACGACGCTTTTATCCAAATATGTAAATGAACACTCAGTTCATTTGTACATTTGCACTTTTTATGCGTTTTTGCCTATATGCAAATTGCAAAAACGCATATTGGGACGACCCTGTCTGTGTGTCATGTATGTATGTTCTTTCATGCAAAATTTACCATGATTTGCGGTATTGAGAGCACAAGGTAGGTGTATGTGTGTGTGTATGCTTGTGTGTGCGTATGTGTGTTCGTCTGTCCGGGTATTTCAACTCGGCAACCACGTATGCGTGTGTGTGTATGTTTGTGTGTGTGTGTGTTCGTCTGTCCGGGTATTTCAACTCGGCAACCAAGCTTCTATATGCAAATTGCAAAAACGCATATTGGGACGACCCTGTCTGTGTGTGTATGTATGTATGTATGTGTATGTGTATGTGGGTGTGTATGTTTGTGTGTGTGTGTGTGTTCGTCTGTCCGGGTATTCCAACTCGGCAACCAAGCAAGTTCCAGCGCCGAGATTTATGTGTGTGTGTATGTGTGTGTGTGTTCGTCTGTCCGGGTATTTCAACTCGGCAACCAAGCAAGTTCCAGCCTCGTGTATGTGTGTGTGTGTGTGTGTTCGTCTGTCCGGGTATTTCAACTCGGCAACCAAGCAAGTTATGTTTGTGTGTGTGTGTGTTCGTCTGTCCGGGTATTTCAACTCGGCAATCAAGCAATTTCTAGCGCTACGCGTGTGTGTGTGTGTGTGTGTTCGTCTGTCCGGGTATTTCAACTCGGCAACAAAGCAAGTTTCAGCGCCGAGATTTTGCTAATGGGTACCCCAGAACCGCGGTACCGTCTCTCTCGCACGTCTGGGCCCCGCGTACGAGAGGGGGAAAGTTTTGGCGGGAAAATTCATAACTCGGAACGGAAAAAGATAGAAGGCTGAAACTTTGGGAGTATGCGCCCATACCATGCGCGATCCTCCCATTTTAATATCATCCCCTGCGGACGCCTGGGCGCCGGGTACG